TCTCTCTCTCTCTCTCTCTCTCTCTCTCTCAAAGTTAGAATAAGTTTGAATAAAGTTATTGCTATACAAGTGTTGCACAGAATAAACACAGAGAGGCAGTACTCGTAACTAACACCACAACTAACGCCTCTATTCAGGAATCTCTACCAGAATTACATTAATACTGACCATCAGATCAGAGCCCATGAGTTGGTGTGACGGCGGGGGCGCCGACCGGACCTCACGCTCGACATCCGTATCAGTGATATAATCGATGCGATACTCATTCCCTGTCATCACTTTATGTCTACTATTTATTGTATTCAATTCACATATAATTTAATTATTGCTTTACATTTATTTTTGGTTATTTATTGAAAGTATAAGTAATTTAATTACAATCAATATATGACTCAAAACATCGTAATTATTATTTAATTCATTTTAAATGCATGCAAAGTATTAGAAAATTATATTATTTAAGGAATTTAATAAATGTTTTATGATAATTAAAATAAAATTAATTGTTTATAAAAAGTGATAAATCATATATTATTGTGTTTTGCGAAACAGAATTTCATAGAAAACTGAATTATCATTAGATTTAATTGTATTTAAAACTTCATTGAAATTGTTTTGTTTCGTGACAACAGTCTTATCGATAGACCACTCGTTATGTTTGGCCAACACTTCCCGACACTCAGGCCTTTGTCGCCAAAAAGGTGTTGACATCATCTCCAGAAGTGTCCCGTATATGCTTTGTATGCATTTCTTGAACGACAACTTTTTCGCTTCAATTAATTTCCAACTATTATTTCATACAAAATATAATTATAATAAATATTAAACATTTAAATAGTACCTTTTCCTCTGACATAGAATTGCATGCAATACTAAGTCAATATCAGTAAAATAGCATTTTAAAAATTGCATGCAATGCTATCTAGATAGTATTGCACCCCTTCACTAAAATTGACATAATATTGCATGCAATTGTATCTGAAATTCAGTAAAGGGATTTAACCGTAACATTTAAATTAAGTAAATATAATAAGCTTTCGAGAATATTTTCCTGTTATAAAAGTCAAATTCGGATTAAAATTAAAATAATTAGTCAAATTTTCAATGAGATGTAAAATTCCAATTTTAAACTTAAAATTTGATGAATCAGCATTTCAATCCATAGAATAATTATCCATAAAAGACAATTTAGTTTTAAACACCTTTCAATGATACTTAAAGATTTGATAATCATTTTAAACTAATAAATAGATTATGATAAAATAAGGAACAGTTATAATTTAAGAAATTCATACAAAAGGAAATACATACAATCTATTTAATTTACCATATATAGTAAAAATCATTGTATTTAATTCTAGACAAATTGTTAATTTGAAATACTGATAAATTAATTCAGTTTGTTAATCAATTTAATAATTTCAATTTTAATATGAAATATTATTTCATTTTTATTTATTTTTGTTATTGACCTAAAATAGGGTGCAATGTTATCTAGATAGTATTGCACCCCTTTACTGATATTGACTTACAAGCAAACGGTCTGAGCTTATTGCGCAATAATGGTATTTAATACTACTAATCGTGTAGTTTAGACCAAATAAAATAATTTAGGACTACTATCTCGGGCTGATAGCCCAATGGGCGCCTCTGGGAGAGGGTTTTAAGTTGCAATTCATATGTGTTAAGCTTATGAGAGTTAGTTGACTTGAATGCCACAAAACAAGTGGCGCTAGTCTCAATGCAATTCTCTAATGCAATTGAAACTTAAAACCCTCTCCCAGAGGCGCCCATTGGGCTATCAGCCCGAGATAGTAGTCCTAAATTATTTTATTTAGTTTAAACTACACGATTAGTAGTATTAAATACCATTATCGCGCAATAAGCTCAGACCGTTTGCTCGTTAGTATTGCATGCAATTCTATGTCCGAGGATAAGGTAATAAAATACTCACTCCTGGAGATCAATGCCAAACAACTCTTCGCCGATTATAGAGAGGCTATAAATGTCTGATTTGTGGTCATATTGTTTACCCATAAGTACTTCGGGCGCTATATATCCAAAAGTACCACAAACTGAGTGCACAAATGGACTGATAGTCTGTCTACGGGTGTTGTGATCAGTGGCTAAACCAAAGTCACACACTTTTATGAAGCGATTGGATGTAAAGTTGGGATCAATTAATATGTTTTCCGGTTTTAGATTCCTATGAATGACCGGTGGATCCGATTCGTGGAGATATTCAACACATTCTAGAATTTCTTTAAATATTTCACACGAAGTAAAGTATTCAAAGACATTCATCTGGTCTTCCGGTTGTCTCCCGAAGACAATGGGTTTATCTTTGAGAACAGTTCGAAGACTTTGGGAATAGAATTGCATTTGAATGTAGAGATGATTGGACTCGAGATATGAATCTTCATATTTGACGACAAAATCTGAGTCCAGTTTTGATAAACCATTGACTTCTTCGAGAACTCCCTGTTTTGTCTCTTCATTACTATCTGTAAAAATAATTTATAAAACAGTTTTATGAATAAAATACAAAATAGTTATGATATTTACCCGCAAATTGTAGTCTCTTAACGGCATATATTTTTCCGCCCAATTTATGCGTTACTTTAAATACAGTCCCAAAACCACTCGAACCTATGGCCGAACTCTCGATGAATTGGTTGTTATAATTATTATCACTTGAATTATCATTTAATTTATTATCGTTTTTATCTTCAATTTTAGTTTTATTTTTCCTTTTCTTTTTGGTTTTACATTTAGTTTCACTTTTAAATTCGCTGTTATTTTTACATTTAATTTCGCTATTATTTTCACTTTTAATTTCTCTGTTATTTTTACATTTAATTTCGCTATTATTTTCACTTTTAATTTCTCTGTTATTTTCACTTTTAATTTCGCTGTTATTTTCACTTTTAATTTCGCTGTTATTTTCACATTTAATTTCGCTATTATTTTCACTTTTAGTTTCGCTATTATTTTCACATTTAATTTCGCTGTTAATGTCAATCGATGTTAACATAGTTTCAATTTCATTAATATCATTAATATGTTTCAAATTAATTGTCTTATAAGTGATCTGACATTCATTGGCGTAAAAGTCAATAAAATTATCATATTTTGTATCATTTAATTTAAAGTCCTTTGAAATTAATTTCACCTTATTGTTGATTAAAACACACGTGTATTCATTATTATCACCAATATATGAATTAATTTGTAACAACTGTTGCACAACTAGTTTACATGGTATTGGTTTAGGACTTTTAATAGGTTTAGTCATATCACCAAACAGTCCGCTTAAGTACAGGCCGTTTGTCGTGTGAAATATAGTACTAAACTCTGTGGAAGTGATGGCTTTCACACCGCCGATGGTTGCGATCAGTCGTGGCCTCAACGCTATACCACTGACATTGTGTCCCAATTGGTGGTGAGTATTGTCACCCCAACTGAACACCTGGCCATCGGTGGTGATGATAAACGAGGTGTAAGTATAACAATACACGGCACGTATTGTATATCTAGCGGCAAATTCAAACTCGGTGGGTTCGTACATGTGCTCGATTTCGCGCATGGTTAGTCCGCACCCGAGTTGACCAAAACTATTGCCGCCCCAGACATACACCCGGCCTGCGGTGGTGAGCGCCAGCACGTGGACTGACCCACAACTCACTTGTACCACATCTCTGTCGTAAAAGCACGCGATTGCCTCCGGTTTGAGGTTAGATCTATGAGTGGCCGGATTGCGGGCCAATTGTCCGCAAGTATTGCTACCGAAACCGTAGATCCGATTCCTGGCGTTCACTGCTATCACAAAATTCATGCCATTCACGAAGTATTGTATGCTTTGGTGACATAATTCAGGGATCAGTTGCGGTGATAGTACGGGTGTGTTGTGTCCAAAACCCAGACATCCCTCGCTATTATTGCCGAATCCGTAGACCATATCGTCGTTTGTCACGAATAATACATTCACTCCTTGTTTCCAATCATTAAAAACATGTAATTTTGTTATATTTTGCTTAATTTTTGCCGAAATATTGTCACAAATTTTAAATTTTTCTAATAATTCAGACATTTTTACAAAATATTACAAATATTACAAATTATTTGCACAACTATTATAACATTCAATACACGAAACAGTAGTTTTAAAAAAAACACACGTTATTATAATTGCATAATAAAATTAGATAAACATTACATGTATATTTGTTTTGTTATTGTTTTATTAACAACAATAAAAACTCGTGTTTACATTGCTCAAACATTCAAATACTTTATTGTACAAGGCCCATATACGCCACAGCCAATCAGAGTGCTCAAAAGTTTTAGTGCTATATGTCTAACCATGTGATTGGGTTATAAACATAGCGCCAAATTCAAGTGTTTTACTTTTCAACCCAGCACAAACAATTAAGGGTAAATTGATCATGTTTATCTCTAATTGACATGCTATTTTTATACACAACATTTTAATATTTTAAATAATAATTATTGTTGACTAATTTAAATAGTTTCATTTAAACATTACAATATACCTGTAGTTATATAAATCTGTAATATACTAAACAATAACACTGTTTCATCACTAACTGTGAAGAATCTTAATTCCTATTCAATTGCTATTGTTTTTAATCATTATTATATAATTCTATGATAATAATGGGTATATCATTGATCCAATTGATCCCATACTCATGGGTTGCCACTCACTTCATGTGTACCATTCATGGGTACTATTTATTGTGTTTAATTGATATATAATTTAATAATTGTTTTACATTTTGTCATTTATTTTAAAGTAATAAAACTTATTGAAAATACAAATAATTTAATTACAAGTAATCTATCAATCATTCAAATTATAAAACATTGTAATTATTATTTATTTATTTAAATCTTTAACAAAAGATATTTGAGAAATTGTATTAAAGTTTTAATAAAAAATATTAATTATATTTATTAAAGTAATTATTTATCAATAAAAATATAGTATTTAGTAAATAATGATTACAAGAATAAGCGTTAATAAATTTGCATTTGAAAAGAGAGAGAGAGAGAGAGAGAGAGAGAGAGAGAG